AGCTTTGTCCAAATACCCACACTTGCGGTCTTTGCACTTGACCACTTGACTACTTATATGACGTATTTCCTGTATTTGGCCCAAGTGTTCAAGTGAGGATGAAGACCACAAGTGTGTGTCGAACTTTTCATTACCTGATGGGACACACTTGTAGTGTTGTAAAAATGCAATTGTTTACATAGCTTTATTTTAATTTTAAATACTTTGCATTTTAAAATCAACTTCTAAATGTCTGTTCAGTAGTCCCTATAACATGACAATTTTAATTTGTGGTGCTTCTAATTAAGTGATAAAAAGCAGTTGCAAATGTTGTACAAAATAAATATCACCACTACTCATCTTTGCACCAATAAAATGTAAAAACACAGTTTTTCTACCAAATTATATGTAATATCTAATTATTATATTAATATTTAACTTGCATTGGAAAGGTTTCCGTGACCTCTCGCGAGATCTCGGCAAAAAATCTCACGATTTATTTCCAGAACATGATGCATGATGGGATACACTAAGCCTCGAATAGCGCTCCGGAGCGGTATTCGAGATAGTGTGGGTTTAGTTAAGGGCACTGCGCTCTGGCGTTTTTAAGACCTGGGACAGTCTTGCGCACTTACTTCCTGTCGCGCGCACGTGCTCTCAAGTGGCCAAGACCGCAAGTGTGGGTATTTGGACAAGGGGAGTATTTACTCTGTTGTTAGCTTCCGCATATGGTCACATGGTTAACATCCGCGCTTCTAAGGTTTGTCCTATATATATGTGATGTATAATATAATAAAAGGTATACAAGATTATTTGCAATATTAAATACTTAAGTTTTACTGTACTAAAGTAAAATAAATTTTAAATGTAAAATGTTTACCAGTTTTTAACCAGGAATTTTTTTGTTTCTATAGTTTATACTTCTGTATACATTATTTTTATATTTTAATAATTAAATATTAGATTATAAGGATTTAAAAATGCATTTGTTTTATTATTACCATTTTTTTATCATTTACCATTTTTCTTGAAATGCCACACAAAATGAACAATAAAATATCTTTACACGTCAAAAATGTAAGAACAATATTCCCACTCATGGTGTGACAATTAAGTTACAGTAAGTGTCAGTGAAGAGTGGACTGTCTAGCTTTTAGCTAACATAAAGCAGCATTCACTGCATTCTTGAAATGCAGTTGGCAGGACTTACTAATGTGGGGGGGAAAAAGTCATATATTCAGGTATTCCAACATCCTGGTTCAGAAATAAAATGACGGTTGTTGAAAGAATGATTTAAAATAAGAAATATGTCTTGATTTTTAGCTGTTTTAGTTTTTGTTTAATTGAAAGTTTGTTTTGTGTTGTAATTCATTTTAAGTCATTTTGAGGCCTACATATGCATCTCATTACTAAATAAATGTTTTTTTTTTTAGGCTTTCTCACCGTCTCAACTAATTTCTGCAATTCTCCAGCTGTGATCCTTGGAGAGTCTTTGGCCACTCAAAGACACTCATACATACACACGACCTCTTCCAGGCAAGTTCGTAACATCTCCATTTGATTGAAATGTAATAATTATTGCCCTGAATGTGGAAATAGCCATGTCTTTACAGCCCCTTTCTATTTTTTTTTTTTTTGAAGTTTTTTGAATCTCTGCACATCAGAACTAAATTCTTTGGTTTTACTCATTGATTAACGTATAGGAGAAAAACATTTCTTTTGTAATGTGATTTTCTCCCACTTTCAGTTGTTTTACTTAAATGTAAGGTTGGATTATTGTGAAGATCAAACAGATAAACAATGCAGATTTATTTCCACAGCCTTCTTTACTCATATTTACCAAGGGGACTAATAATTCTGACCTCAACTGTATATCCACCATATTATACACAATATAAAATATCCTTTAGGTCAAGATACCTAATGAAAAAAAAATTTAAAAAGAGAGCGCTCCCATGAACAGCACATTTATTCACCATTCAGCAGATAGCTTTCTATCTCTGTCCAAGCAATATAGATTCTGTTAGCATATACTCTTTCTATAGTACAATAATCATTTACACAAATATACACAATTTAAAATATAAACTTGTTCCAAAGTACAACATATACAGTTTTTTTGTTGTTGTTTTTTTTCACGACGTAGCGTTTTATTGAGGCAGTCCACACAATTTATTTTCTATGGTGGGTGAAGAGCACAGGCAACAGTTAAGCGGGCTCAATCAGCACAAACCGAAACAGAGACATGGAAGAGGATTCCTTGAGGATGACCTACAGTACAGCTGGGCTGGATAAAACTCTTTGGATCGTGCACTATCAGGCCTTTCTCTTTGCATTGACCGTGATTGTCGGTTGTTGAAGTTCATTGCTCTGATACGGTAATGTGTGTTCCTCTTAAAGTAACACTATGTTGTTATTGTATGTTTGTATGGCACATTTAAAAGCGTCTCAAATCATGTGCACTTGAATGTGTCCATTCTGCAAAACAAATATTTCCTCCACACTGAACCCAAGTGCATAATGTAATGATCAAATAAGTGTACGAGCGCACTCTCATTCGAACACATTCACACGCACACCGTAAGACAACATGCTTGCATGCATGCATGTTAACATTTCTGCTTCTCTCTCTCTCTCACTCACTCATATGGAAGCTTTTCCACCACAAAAATAAATAAATAAATAAATTGTGATTTTAATTCAAAAATCATTTTTTTCTTGCAATTGCGAGTTTATATCACACAATTCAGATTTTTTTTTCAGATTCTGAAGTTTACATCTTGCAATTATTTTTTTTCTTCTTCCACGAAATAAAAAAGATAATTGAGACTTCCTTGGAATTGCAAGTTTATATCACACAATTCAGATTTTTTTTTCAGATTCTGAGTTTACATCTTGCAATTATTTTTTTTCTTCTTCCACGAAATAAAAAAGATAATTGAGACTTCCTTGGAATTGCAAGTTTATATCTCACAATTCTGACTTTCTTGCAAATCTTTTTTTTTTTTTTGGCCACGGAATAAAAACTAAAAAAAAGTTAATTGCGACTCACAATTGCATTTTTTTTTACAGTTTCTATCTTGAAAATCTAAATTTTTCCTCAAAATTCTGAGTTCATATCTCGTAATTCTGTTTTTTACATCATGAAATAAAAATAAAAGTTAATTGTGATTTTATCTCACAATTCTGACCTTTTTCCTCAATTACAAGTGTATATCTCACAAGACATCTTGCTAGTTATCTCACAAATGTTTTTTCTCAGAGCTGTGAATTTATATATCATATCTGAGTTTATATATAGAAAAAAAATCGGAATTGTGAGATATAAACACAAAAGTATGTGATAAAAATATTAATTGTCAGATATTGCATCAGAATTTTAAGAAACAAGGTCAGAATTATGAGATAAAAAGTCATAATTACCTTTATTTATTTATTTGATTCCACGGCAGAAATAAACATCCATATCCTCATGCACACACACAGCCCAGCAAAATCATTCTACACCTGTGATATAATCTGCATATTAAAACTGGGTGATCGAGACTGTTTGGACAGTGGGCTTCCAGAGGAGAATAGACTCCCGGGGGACAGAAGATCCTGGCTCCGCGTCGCTCGCCCTAGTCGTTCATCCTGCAAGCTGATGGCTGACAGATAATGTGCCCTGTCTGCACTGAGGCTTCCCAGCGACAGGCTATCTGTAGGTCCCGATGAGCCGTTTAGGCCGGTACAGTCAAGAGACTTGCAAGAAGATGTGCTGCTGGTTTTAGGCGGCGCACCAGCGAAGGGAGGGATGTAATGTGGGTCCAGAAAGCATCTGGGAGCACTGGGACTCGGGCTGCGACTGCTTTCTACAGTACGGAGGCTGATGGCAGGGGGAGGGGACTGGTGCCGTTGGTGGAGGCTTCGAAGGGCGGCTCTGGTGTCGGCCGAAGTGCTCTCCCTCTGCCTGGCTCCCGGATCTCGGAAAGGTCGAACGCCCGTTATGACCCAGTCTTGTTTCACACTGCTGGGCTGGCTGCTGCTGGAAGCCCCAGAGGAAAACCCTTCATCTGGGTCAAAAGAGTCCTCTCCACAGCTCACGCCATCGGCATCTAAAACACAGCGAGGGAACAATGAGGCAGAGAAAACAGAAAGCTGGATTAACTAGATTTGCATTTCCTAGAGGAAATTCCAGCGCTTGCAAGGCAGCAAAAGAATAGTGTTAGGTGAGCTTAGAAGTAAGCTCAGGCTTTTGGATGCATCTCAGTGAAATGCTGCATCACAGCTGCTTTGACACTCAGCACGCATCTTGTGTTGATTCTCCTGCACAGCCGACAGAAAACAACATGACACCGTCTTTGAAGTGTAAAGCTGCGGTTACACTAGACTCCATTCGCTCCTTTCACTTCCACTCATACACATGAGAACACGGGAGAAACTCAAGCTCAGGAGGACAATTTTGTTGGTAAACTCTGATGAGATGATTCACCAATGTAAATACACTACAGTTCAACAGTTTATTTTTTCTGAATACTTTTATTCAGTAAGCATGCATTAAATTAAGTTGATCACAATAAAATGCTCACAAAACATTCTATTCGTTAAAGAATCCTGAAAAAAAATGTATCATGATTTCCACAAAAATATTAAGCAGTATGACTTTTTTCAACACTGATAAAAAAAAAAAAAAGTTTCTTAAGCAAATTAGCATATTACAATGATCCCTGAAGTATCATGTGACACTGAAGACTGGAGTAATGGCTGCTGAAAATTTTGTTTTGCCATCTTAGTAATAAATTACATTTTAAAATATATTCAAATATAAACTTTTTTTAAAAATGTATAACATTTATTTCTTAATAACAATAATAGTAATAATGTAATAATTTTAAACTGTAAAAATATTTCATATTACTGCCTTTCCTGTATTTAAAAAAAAATGCATTCTTGGTGAGCATAAGAGACTTCTCTCAAAAACATTAAAAAAAGAAATCCTACCAACCACCAACTTTTGCACAGTAGTGTAAGATATAATGCTGCTTTCACCTCAGAAGTTCATACTTTCAAGTTTGGAAACATAAGTGAGTTTGGTTGGAATAAAATGGATGTGCTGGACAAATATAATTTTCACTTCCCAACAAAGAAAGAAAGCTTTCTAGCATTAATGCAGCGTAAGGAAGAGCAAAGGATGCACATTAGATGTGTAATTGATGCACATGTTCAGTAAGTAGTCATTTATGTCAATCTTTAACACTATTTTTCATTAATAGTACACAAAATACAATTTTGAACCTATTATTATTATTATTAGCAAAAATAATAATAAAGCTTTAACTTGTTGTTATTGGTAATTATGACATAATGGTGGTATTCATGTGCAGTCAATTTGCAAATACAGTACGATCATTCCAACATGACCTGAACACACCAATCCAAGACCAATCACAATTCTGTATGCAAATATTAAATAATATTTGAAAGAACCTGTACATTGAGTCTTTGAGCTACATGAACTGCAGAAATTTGTAAAGAAGGAAAAAGAAGAGGAATGTCATTCTATCTTGCCTTGCAAGCACTGTAAAAGTATCCTAAAACAAAACTCAAGACAAATAAAAAGGTTAAACACAAATGATCACAATACAACACTAAGGTATGTGGAGACACTAGAAACAAACAGAAGGAAGTTTTCCATGCAATGGGGTTAGTTTAATCTGTAGGCCAATGAACACTTTCTATGACCAAGAAGGGCAAGGCTTGTGCATGGACTGTCTAATGGTGAGATGTTCCTGAGCCCTGCCTACCCCCTTGCAAGGTTAGGTGAATGGTGCACTTTATCCTCCCGTGTGCCACAGGATTGTCTGGTCTCTTCAGCGGGGTGTATCGGCTGGGGGTGATGGAGGCGTAGAATTCAGTCGTGGTTGAGAAATCAAAACAATCTGAGGTG